GGGAGAGGCACTGTAAAGAAATTTTAATGAAAATAAGAAAAAATTTTGGAGTTAAACAAGTTAAGAAAGCCTAGAGAACGAATGGATTTGTCAGTTAAAAACACAGTAGGGGAGTTAGTAGATGGGGGAGATGGAGGTTTTGGGTAGATGGCGAGAATATTTTGAGGAACTTTTAAATGTCAACGAAGAAAGGGAAGTGGTAATTTCATGCACTGGCCAGGGAGGTATACCATCTTTTAGGAGTGAAGAAGAACAGGATGCGAGTGTGGGGGAGGTGCGTGAGGCATTACGTAGAATGAAAGGGGGTAAAGCAGCTGGAAGTGACAGGATCATGACAGAAATGTTAAAAGCAGGGGGGCATATAGAGCTGGAGTGGTTGGTATCTTTGTTTAATAAATGTATGAAAGAGGGGAAGGTACCTAGGGATTGGCAGAGAGCATGTATAGTCCCTTTATATAAAGGGAAGGGGGACAAAACAGATTGTATAAATTATAGAGGAATAAGTTTACTGAGAATACCAGGAAAAGTGTACAGTAGGGTTATAATTGCGAGAATTAGAGGTAAGACAGAATGTAGGATTGCAGATGAGCAAGGAGGTTTCAGAGTGTGTAGGGGATGTGTAGATCAAGTGTTTACATTGAAGCATATATATGAACAGTATTTAGATAAAGGTAGGGAAGTTTTTATTGCATTTATGGATTTAGGAAAGGCATATGATAGAGTGGATAGGGGAGCAATGTGGCAGATGTTGCAAGTATATGGAATAGGTGGTAAGTTACTAAATGCTGTAAAGAGTTTTTATGAGGATAGTGAGGCTCGTTAGGGTGTGTAGAAGAGAGGGAGACTACTTCTCAGGAAAAGTGTACAGTAGGGTTATAATTGCGAGAATTAGAGGTAAGACAGAATGTAGGATTGCAGATGAGCAAGGAGGTTTCAGAGTGTGTAGGGGATGTGTAGATCAAGTGTTTACATTGAAGCATATATATGAACAGTATTTAGATAAAGGTAGGGAAGTTTTTATTGCATTTATGGATTTAGGAAAGGCATATGATAGAGTGGATAGGGGAGCAATGTGGCAGATGTTGCAAGTATATGGAATAGGTGGTAAGTTACTAAATGCTGTAAAGAGTTTTTATGAGGATAGTGAGGCTCGTTAGGGTGTGTAGAAGAGAGGGAGACTACTTCTCAGTAAAAGTAGGTCTTAGACAGGGATGTGTAATGTCACCATGGTTGTTTAATATATTTATAGATAGGGTTGTAAAAAGAAGTAAATGCTAGGGTGTTTGGGAGAGGGGTAGGATTAAATTATGGGGAATTAAATACAAAATGGGAATTGACACAGTTACTTTTTGCTGATGATACTGTGCTTATGGAAGATTCTAAAGAAAAATTGCGAAGGTTAGTGGATGAGTTTGGGAGTGTGTGTAAAGGTAGAAAGTTGAAATTGAACATAGAAAAGAGTAAGGTGATGAGGGTATCAAATTATTTAGATAAAGAAAAATTGGATATCAAATTGGGGAGGAGGAGTATGGAAGAAGTGAATGTTTTCAGATATTTGGGAGTTGACATGTCAGCGGATGGATTTATGAAGGATGAGGTTAATCATAGAATTGATGAGGGAAAAAAGGTGAGTGGTGCGTTGAGGTATATGTGGAGACAAAAAACGTTATCTATGGAGGCAAAGAAGGGAATGGGTGTGAAGCTTGGGTTGTGAATGCAGCAGTGAGGAGGCAGTTGGAGGTAGTGGAGATGTCCTGTCTAAGGGCAATGTGTGGTGTAAATATTAAGCAGAAAATTCGGAGTGTGGAAATTAGGAGAAGGTGTGGAGTTTAATAAAAGTATTAGTCAGAGGGCTGAAGAGGGGTTGTTGAGGTGGTTTGGTCATTAAGAGAGAATGGATCAATATAGAATGACATGGAGAGCGCATAAATCTGTAGGGGAAGGAAGGCGGGGAAGAGGTCGTCCTCGAAAAGGTTGAAAGGAAGGGGTATGGGAGGTTTTGTGGGCGAGGGGCTTGGACTTCCAGCAGGCGTGCATGAGCGTGTTCGTTAGGAGTGAATGGAGACGAATGATATTTGGGACCTGACGATCTGTTGGAGTGTGAGGAAGGTAATATTTAGTGAAGGGATTCAGGGAAACCGGTTATTTTTATATAGCCGGACTCGAGTCTTGGAAATGGGAAGTACAATGCCTGCACTCTAAAGGAGGGGTTTGGGATATTAGCAGTTTGGAGGGATGTACATATTGTGTACCTTTATACGTATATGCTTCTAAACTGTTGTGTTCTGAGCACCTCTGCAAAAACAGTGATTATGTGTGAATGAGGTGAAAGTGTTGAATGATGAAAGTATTTTCTTTTTGGGTATTTTCTTTCTTTTTGGGTCACCCTGCCTCAGTGGTAGACGACCAACTTTAAAAAAAAAAAAAAAAAAAAATTAATACATTTATAATAATAATGTACTACATAATAATAATTATAATAACAGACGACTTCAAAAGGCCATCACTAGATGGCAGTGTTTACCACAAGAAAGAGGGAGCAGTTGTGGCCGCCTCCACCTGTTACATAATGACATATTTTATGCATTCTGGAGTATATATCAGGTTTCTATGTTATTTATATTGTTTGTTATGTCATATTAGATGAACTTTGATAGATAAATAAGCCGTAGAGTTGAAATAAGCAAAATTATTGAAGTACAGAATTCCACTGGAACGGATTAATTGCATTTCAATTAATTTAAATGAGGAAAATTGACTCTGCAAACGAGCAAATCCAGCTGCGAGCAAGGCCATGGAACGGATTAAACTCGCAAGTAGAGGTTCCACTGTATAATGTAAATAGTTTATGACAAATTTAGCCTCTCACAACACTAGTTACAAATTCATGTGTACATAAATGTACGCTTTCAATGCTTTCTTACACCTTTATTCTTTCAAACCACTAGTTATGAATTCATATAGTATGTACACAAATGTGCATTCTCACAAGCTCTTTCTCACACCTGTGCTCTTGCACAACTGCACTCTTTTTTGCATCCTTGTTCTCTTTTCCATGTACATCATCCCCCCCTCATACACTCATGTTATCTCTCAGGTAAGCTAGCTCACTCGCTCTCTCAGGTAAGCTCACTCGCTCTCTCTCTCAGGTAAGCTCGATTGTGCTCTCTCTCAGGTACGCTCACTCGCTCTCTCAGGTAAGCTCACTCGCGCTCTCAGGTAAGCTCGATCGCGTGCTCTCTCTCTCTCTCAAGCTCGATCACGCTCTCTCTCTCGGGTAAACTCACTCTCACTCTCAGGTAAGCTAGCTCACTCTCTCTCTCATGTAAGCTCGCTTGCTCGCTCTCAGGTAAGCTTGCTCTCTCTCTCTCTCAGGTATGCTTGCTTGCTCTCTCTCAGGTATGCTTGCTCGCTCTCACGTATGCTCGCTCTCTCTCTCTCTCTCAGGTATGCTCGCTCGCTCTCAGGTATGCTCGCTCGCTCTCTCAGGTAAGCCCCGCTCGCTCTCTCAGGTAAGCTCGCTCGCTCTCTCAGGTAAGCTCGCTCGCCCCTCTCAGGTAAAACTCGCTCGCTCTCTCAGGTAAGCTCGCTCGCTCTCTCAGGTAAGCTCGCTCGCTCTCTCAGGTAAGCTCGCTCGCTCTCTCAGGTAAGCTCGCTCGCTCTCTCAGGTAAGCTCGCTCTCTCAGGTAAGCTCACTTCTCTCTCTCAGGTAAGCTCACTTGCTCTCTCTCTCAGGTAAGCTCACTTGCTCTCCTTCTCAGGTAAGCTCACTTGCTCCTCTCTCAGGTAAGCTCACTTGCTCTCTCTCTCTCTCTCAGGTAAGCTCACTCGCTCTCTCAGGCAAGCTCACTCACTCAGGTAAGCTCACTCGCTCTCTCAGGTAAGCTCACTTGCTCTCTCAGGTAAGCTCACTTGCTCTCTCTCTCAGGTAAGCTCACTTGCTCTCTCTCTCAGGTAAGCTCACTTGCTCTCTCTCTCAGGTAAGCTCACTTGCTCTCTCTCTCAGGTAAGCTCACTTGCTCTCTCTCTCAGGTAAGCTCACTCGCTCTCTCAGGCAAGCTCACTCACTCAGGTAAGCTCACTCGCTCTCTCAGGTAAGCTCACTTGCTCTCTCAGGTAAGCTCACTCGCTCTCTCAGGTAAGCTAGATCGCTCTCTCAGGTAAGCTCAATCGCTCTTGCTCTCTCTCTCTCTCTCTAACATTTACTAATTACTAGGAGCTGTATAAACTACAAAGGAAAAAAATTCATCATTTGGTAATTGTTTTGGGAGAAACTGACAGAAAATTAATGATAACTTTAACATAAAAACTATACATACACAACAGACTATTGCAAGATCTGGGAAAGTAATGCAATGTCATTTTACTTCAAGTATCACTAGGAATGACACACAAAATACATTAAAGACAAAAAATTATTTTAAACTAACCATTCTCTCTTATTCCTCCATTTTCCTCAATGGTGAGATGTTCTGCCAGCTCTGTGAGACTACCATCGTGAAACCTTGTAAAGGTCTGTGAGAGACGCCGCCGAATACGCTTTAAACTCATTGTGATGGGCACTTTCTGTTTTAATCACAAGTACAATACTGTATTCTTTATGTTTAGCAAATGTTTCAGTTTTTTCTCTGATAGTTGAAGATTAATTAGAAAGTGTCCTCTCAATTGTGCAACACTTTTTTGATCACTCTGCAGTCATCAAAGTCTTTAATATTCAATTTGTATCATATAAATGAACTAATTTATAGTAAGCTCCTTGAAAATAGTCGTTTCTATTCTAGAAGGCAAATACTGTCCTAGATAAAATAGTTCTTCAGAAATCACAATGACTTTCTCACTAATGGAATGGAATTTCACTAGTCTACTACAAAAATATCTACATATATATATTTAGGGTTCACAAAATATAACTATTGTACTCTTGGAAATGTTCTACTTCTAACTTGGGTTATACAAATTATTCTTCAAATAAAAAACTGCAGTATTTTCAACACTATACATGCATTTTAATAACACTCTTCAATAAGGCACTGAAGTATAGGTTGGAAGCACATCCACAAAATTTCTCAACTTTTTCAGGTGAAGTGTGATTACTCTCCTTAGGAAGTCTTATAAATTTCAACTGCAATATATTTTATTTCTTAAATATTCTATCACTTTCATAAACTCCACATTTATTAAGTATTTAAAGTTATGTTTTATAAATCACAATTCGACAAATACAATATATTATCTCCTTATCTTTAAGCTTAAAATATTTTTAAATCACACATTTTTAAGACACCATCCTGCTTTTACTGAGGCCTCACTTAAATAAATCTTCCCTTGGAAATTTAAATACAGTAATGTAGTAATTAAATAAGCCAGAATAAATTTCTGCACCCGAACCATCCCATTTTCTTTCCGGATTTTAAAAGGCGCTGTTCAAGACACCATAATGGCAAAGTGAGTTCCAACAGGTGCAGAGACCATGGCATCTAGGTAGTGAAAGCCTCTGTTTGCTGCACTGCCACATCACATCTGTAAAATAATTTTAACATTATTGACGTTAATCACCAAGCTCAGCACAACAGTACGTATAGCAACCAATGAGATTCATAATATGCAAAGCATACTATATATCAATTTACCTAACCCTAATACCTCACAGATACCTTGTTACTATAGTACAGTACAGTATGTACAGCATATCCTCTCAAGGATGGATACGACATGGATAGATGTCACCTGGGAATTCCAGGTAGGTACAGTAGTAACACAGTAACTAAGCCATGAAAATATTTTTTTTCCATTTTATTGATAAATATGAAGGACTATTTGATTATTATTTATTACTTCTAACTTACACCCTTCTTAACTTCTACTGCTTATTTTATTTCATATAAGCCCATTTCTTTAAAATCACATACAGTGTCAACTAAGATTAATGTGTGATATGCTGCACTGTGTGACTCAACTTGCCTGACCCCAAATGTTTTTGAGTAAAATGAAAAATATAGCATATTAGTGTCAGAGAAATCTGAAGGCAGCAGACTGGAAGAAAACAGTGAAAGTGCATTTATTCGGGGGCTTTGTAAGAGGAAAGTCAGACATTTCAGGTACAGTATTAATGAAATGCAACTTTTTTTACGTAACTGCATTTACAAGCTGTTATTTTACCTCACCTCATTTCAATATTCAGTTCTATCTAAGGTATACTATCACCCCATAGGATGCTACAATAGTTGATTAATGCACAGATACCTATTTACTACTAAGTAAACAGATGCAACAGTCTTAAGGAGACTATGCCCATGCATCCTAGGTTCTTAGGTTTCAAGCTGTAGGCACTACTATATAACCCACCTATGTGGTTAAGAGTCAAGTGGAAAATGAGAAGGAGCTAGAATTGTTTTAACATAAAAACATAAGAACATAAGAAAGAAGGAACACTGCAGCAGGCCTACTGGCAGGTTCAAATCTCCTACTGGCTCAAGCCAATGTTCCAACCTAGTCAGGTCAGGTCACATTCACTTGTGGAAAGAACACATCAACTGACCTAGTAGCACAAGCTAATCAGATCCAACTCACACCCACCAACACCCACTCATGTACAGTATTTATCTAACCTATTTTTAAAACTACACAACATTTTAGCCTCTATAACTGTACTTGAGAGTTTGTTCCACTCGTCCACAACTCTATTACCAAACCAGTGCTTTCCTATATCCTTCCTGAATCTGAATTTTTCCAACTTAAAACCATTGCTGTGAGTCCTGTCTAGGCTATTTTCAGAACGTAGTAGGTTGGTAGATAGGTAGTAGGTTGGTAGACAGCAACCACCCAGGGAAGTACTACCGTCCTGCCAGATGACTGTGAAACAGAAACCTGTAACTGTTTTGCATGATGGTAGGATTGCTGGTTTCTTTTTCTGTCTCATAAACACGCTAGATAACAGGGATATCTTTCTACTCTTACTTACACTTTGGTCACACTTCACAGACACGCACATGCATATATATATACATACATCTAGGTTTTTCTCCTTTTTCTAAATATCTCTCGTTCTTCTTTATTTTTTCTATTGCCATTGGGAAGTGGAAAGAATCTTTCCTCCGGTAAGCCATGCGTGTGTAATGAGGCGACTAAAATGCCGGAGCAATGGGCTAGTAACCCCTTCCCTGTAGACATTTACTAAAAAAAGAAAGAAAAACTTTATAAAACTGGGATGCCTTAATGTGCGTGGATTTTAGTGCCCGGATGGACAAAGAAACAGATGATGCCCGATGTTATGAATGAAAGAAGTTGGATGTCCCCCGGCCCTAAGCGAAACAAAAGCCTGAAGGGGTTTGAGAGTTTCATGCGGGGGAAATAAAGGATTAAATCTGGGTATCTTTAAAGAGTTAGAGCAAAGGAAGGGGTTTCAGTAATGTTAATGAAACAGTTATTTGGGAAAGGGGAAAAAGAGAATATGAATGTTAAATTCAAGAATTTTGTGGATTAAATAAAAGGTTGGATCAAGAAGTGGGTCATAATAAGGTGTATGCACTAGAAAA